TTCTAAAGTATATAAACTTTTGGGATTGACTGTATAGCCAATACATCCTTAATTTATTTGTTAGATACTAAATTATTATTGATGTTTGTTTGGTTCGTTTGAAGGCCAGGAATATTGCAGTAAAATATGCTCGGTCGCAACTTTGTAACCACCGCCCCGTTTGATCTGGCGGTGCTCTTCTCTAGTCGGCAAGCCCTCCTGTTCGGAATTGAAGGCTCGCTGGCATTGTACTGTCTTTTATATCCCCCGGTTAAGCGCGGGGGTCTACGCATTTGAATCATGGGCGAGCGAACGAGCCACCTTGTGATCGAGCCGACAAAAAATAGCCGGCGCATATTTGCATTTCAGATTTGTTAGTCGACTTTCGTTCCTTCTTTTTCGATTGGCCCGCGATTGCGCCGATTAACGCGATTGCGCCCGTTCGAGATTTCAATCGGATCCAACAAGGGACCCGCCGCCTCGCTTTCGCTTAAACGTTTTCTCGAAAGTCCCGAAGATTTTTCGGATCGTAAACAAGCTTTACATTTTCCATTGCGTACAAGTAATTTTGGAATAAAATATCAGTTCGCTACGACGACTACAAAGATTTTTCTCGTATTAAAGAGATTTTGAATTAGGCGCTCTGTTTCGTTTTAGAATTTCATTTTTCACTCGCTCCGATCTGTTCGAATATTTATGATATCGACTTACCGTCTAGAATGGAGTCGATGGTGCATCTGTACAGGGCAGACCTCGAACACATGTCGTGCGGTATGAAGACGAAATCTTGTTCCGCTGTAGGCAGGAACCAAGCAACTAATTCCGTGTCCGGTTGAACATCTTTTATTACCTCAAAGATTGGATCCCCTGCAGAACATAATCGAGGAGAAAACGAATGATACTAATTCGTAAATCAACCGATATCGTGTGAGAAACATTTCGTAAAATAATAAAATATTCTCGAATACTGATAGATAAGATTTTAATGCATACGTTAATAATTGAGACATCGAAAATGTATTATCGGAATAATGATTATTTATGAGATTGCCACAGCTGGCATAGATTCATAGCGATGATTCGCCGGATCATATTGATACCAGTTTATTATTATTTGTTCTTAGCGCGTTCATTAACTCACCTTTCACTTTGGTACCAATTAAGTTTACTTGTTCGTCGTAAGATTGAACTATACGGAGGAATCTTATCCAATTGCACTGACGCTTGTTGAGGCTGTAATTTGAAAATGAAACTTCATCATAGCAGCCGTACTCGCGTCTGATCTGAAACAAATCGCGGCAATGAAAAATTATAAGAATTCTGATCACAATATTTATCTTCGTACGATTGAAGTATCTCAATTTTAATATAAAACTCAGTACAGATATTTGCATCCAAGACCTTTACTCCTTTCATACAGTAAAAACGTAGAGTAATTTATAAAAATGGAGTTTAGCATCGTTAATGGAATAAGATTAATAAGAAATCGACATCGAATGATTATTACTTACATCATTGTCATCTAAGAGGGAGTAGAGATCGATCTTGTCGAATCGGATGGATCCCTGAAAGGGGTAGATCAACGTGCCCGCCGGAATAAGCACGTTGGACCATACAGATATCCTGACGTCGGTCACTAAGCCGCCTGAATCATTCTTGAAAAATCCCTTGTAGTTAGTGCGATCGTTAGCGAGTGCCAGGGAAAATTCTTTGGGTATCAGAACGCAGGTTTCCATAACAGAGGTCCCGCAGAGGGTTGCTTTGGGAAACTCACAGCTACCGTTGCCTCCACTTTAAACACTTTTCTGAATCCACTCGACAAGATCCCGAGTCTTATAAACGTTCACCCGGAATTTAAATGTTCTTCTCTATCTCCGCGGTAAAAAGAAAGTAGCATTCGTGTGCAAGTGTTTTGAGTTAAATGTGACAATGATTGAAACGCTTTCTCGTGAATGAAAATCCACTTAATTATTGGAGTACAGGTGAAGATACACTGTAGAGCGCACTGTCCGCGGTCGAATGTCGTTCTCGTATCCTCCGTCAGCTTACAGGCTACGACGAGGATACGATCTATACCCTCCGGTGAGGGTACCGGCGGACAAATTTGAAAATTGGAGCAAATCGAAAACAAGTGCAGCGGCGGTCTGCGAGGCGATCGCAATGCGAAAATTTCAGTTGCGAGCGTGAGGGTCGTTCGTCCTCCAAGGTGCAAGGGCCTCGGCTGACTGGATAGGATTAACCGACTGATCTTGACCTTGCGACGGGTTACCAGCATTTGCTACCGAATGGGTAGCCCTTCCCCTCCTTTACCTCTTTTCCCACTCGCGGTACATGGCCCGCTGCAGACTTTCTCAGTGGCGTAGTTCGTTGATCTCAAGTAGAACTTCCTTCGCTTTGATCCTTCGCAATCTCATGATTACACTCTTCTCATGTTCTCTTTGTCAATCGTGTCTTCTTAGTTCACTGATAACGCTTGAAACGTGTCGTGTTTAATTGAGACGTAAGAGAAATGAGAGGAGCTGGTCGAACAATCTAATAGCGAACGGTGTACGCCAATGGATCTCTTTGCCCCACTATGTTCATCCTGTGGCGAGTGCACTTGGTGTATAGAACGAGTATCGGCTGGTTCACCAGTACAAGGAAGCCGGCTCGTCGTTCTCGTCGTCGTCATCGTCGTCTTCTTCACCCTTCTACCGTCGCTGCAGCACCGTAAAGAGAGAACCCACGTGGGCGATTGGGCACCTGTCGCACCCTGCGCACCCTTTCCTTCTCGCGCGCGCGATCCGCGTACCCGCGTCCGTCCTCTTCTAGTCAGGCTACCATGCTTTCCGCTTCCACGCCCTACCATATCCTTTTATCCGCCGCTCTCTCTGCTCCTCGCCATTTCTTCCACCTAACAGCCTTCTCCGGACCGCTCTTATTTCTTTCTTTCGTCGCGTTTCCTCGGACCTGCACCGGCGATCTTCTGCCAACCAGCCGAGGCTGCCTCCACACGCCGCTTCCGTCTCGCTCCGATCCAGGGCACCGCTGGTATCACCGTCCTTCCTCAGCCTCTCCACTTTTGCCTCGCCGCTCTAATCTCTTTCTCTCGCGCGCTCCTCTCTTTTGGCTCTGCCCATCACTTCAGAACCTCTCTTTTATTCATTCGTTACGATCGACGACGCTAGGAAATAAAGTTACGAAATTTACGCGTTCGCTTTTCTCCGTCTCATCATTCGTATACAAATATTTTCGAATGAAGCAAGAGTATCTCCGGATTGAACACGTTTTATTGAATCATTAATTTAATAATTAATATTTCGTTTTAAAGGCAGATTTATCTTGATATTTGGTGGTCACTTGATCCTCGGTTTCAGTGGTTCCTTCATCTTCGATTTCAGTAGTCGTTTGATCTTCAGTGATCCCTTGATCTTCGGTGGTCGCATCATCCGTTAATGGTTCGTACTGCGAGCCTCTTGGACTTCGAACTACATCTTTTAAACCGAGTATGTCTCTCGTGGTTTCTCGAAGCCTGTTTGAAAAATGTATTTCAATCGACAATCGGGTGTCTGTATCAATGTCAATCTGATTGTACCTGATGTATTGATAAGATCCTATAATTATACCGCCGACTAGAATTAAGAATAAACAGATCGCGAAAACGCCGACGTAATCTTCATTTGGCAGCCAACCGAAGAAGAAACGTGTTGCTTGATCCTCCATCAAATGCGTACGCCAATTCGGAGCTCCCAAAACTTGACATGAAAAAAGAAAACGAAAAATACTCGTTGAATGTTAATATGTATTTTATTTTCAATTTTTAAATCGATTTTCATTCGACGAACAGAATTTTATACGCCACTACAAATGTAGTTCGCTAGTTTATCAGGAGAAGATAAAATTCTCAGACTGTTTCCCGGCGCGTCTTAAAAGTCGACTGTAAAAAATATTAACGACTTCTGAACATCATACGAAAGTTAGTTAAAGAAAATTTTCAGATAATTACACCCCTAGAAGCTGCTTAATACGTTACATACACAGTTACCGGTTTTTCCGGTTCTCATAAGATCCTCTAACAAGACTCGTTCAGTATATTCTGTACGTATCAAAAAAATTTATCATAATTTTATCCAAAATACTTTTGCGCTCATAGTATTCGACTAAATTAAGAACGAATAAATAAAATTTAATCTTCACCTGCTATACCGAGGTTCTTTTTTATGTCAAATGAAACAATTATCAGTTTAAAAGAATGTACATATTTCATATGAACTGCTAAAAATTTACCTCTAACGGAAATCATGTTCGTTGTCCATTGGAAGCCTAAATCAGTTTGTTTAACGACGCACTGCCACATTCCATTATGAGTTCTGTTAATTTTTTGGATATGCTCGGTGTCAGCAGCAATGGGAAGCGCGACTCCGTAATCCTTCCACATTTTATTATGCAAGAGCCAAGAGATATGAAGCTCCGAATAAACGTGACCCAAAATCGTGCAGTGACACTGTAAAGTCGCACTCAGGGTTTCTCGCACTTGTACATTTGTTCGAGCTGGTATCACTGCCAGACTGATTACTTTGATGATCGAGTAGGTTCCGTCGATTCGATGGAGCGTCATTGCAAACACTCCGGAATCGTTTAAAATCGCTCTTGTTATCTCTGAATAAATGCAATTAATAATTACTCTGATATACAGAATATTTAATAGTATTTAGTAGCCTGAATAGTATTACGAAATTGAGATTTACCAATATTATAATCTTTCAATTCCAATCTACCAGGTTCCTTCAGCACAAAGACTCCGTTTAGCGACCATTGTAATTCAGAACGAGGAGATTCCGTCGTGATTAATTTAACAATATCAGCATCAGATTCAAGCGTGACAGAATGATGTTCCTTCACAGTGAGGGCTGTATGATTAGTTCGAATTCTTCGGTTTATCAAGTTTATCGTATCTGTGCGCAAATCGATGTTCCAGTAAGATGTTATTTCATCAATTATGATCCTGTGTTACCTTCGGTTATATCGCCACAGAGAATTTCGTTGCAACGTCCAGTCATAGTACTCGGTCCTACGCAAGGTTCTCCTTTGACATTAGGTTTCGGGGAATCGCAACGTCGTTTCCGAATTCCGGTACCACCGTTGCAGCTCGCGCTGCATGCCCAGGGTCCCCATTCGGACCAACCGCCATCGAGCGGTGGTCCGTCTATATCTTTCATTCGTCAGCAGATTAATATTCATCGAATTTGTCGTTCGATCCAATTGCATCATTAATGCACAATTTTTTTAATCATTATTGCTGAAGTGGTTATATAGGAATCAGTATGAAGTACTGTTATTTTTTATTCATTGATTTTACTGTACACGATGCAAATGGCTCAACACTGTATCATAGCAGACAGTAAATAATTACTTGAGAATAAGAGGCGATGTACCTGTTGGCATACAATTAGCGGTCCATGTAACCCAATTACCAGACTCGACACCGACCGAGAAAAAGTAGAATACTAAAGGGTTCGAGTGTTGATAATGAAAGACGTTCGTCCCGTTCGAAAAAATTTCTATAACATTCCCAGACCATCTGTACATTTGTAAATCGTCTTTAGAAATCATTTGTATATTTTTTTAACGCTGCTAATTACTTTATAGTGATGTTGGTCCACGAGTTCGTTGTGAACAATGGCACGCGTGTCTTTTGCTTATGGTATACTGTAACGCTGGGATACATAGTTTTCGCGAACCATATCAAACGTTGGGGATTGTTAAATTTTAACAAAGAAAACCTGTCCGAAAAATGAACAATTATTGTTGGAATCTAAAGAAGTAATTAATAGTAATTACCCAGGGACTGCGGGCATCAAGTATAGAGGTACGGAAAATACGCCTTGGCCACGAAGTTGAAATGTAATTTGTTCGGGGAGCAATACTTCTTTTTCCATCCACGTTGACAGTGATAAAATTCTGGTGTACCGATCGGTTTTCGTATTTTCTATATGACAATCTATTCGTTTAAGAAACTAATCATTTCCTGAACGAACATTACGAACATCTAATTTTGCAGTGTTAATTATAAAAAAATGAAATCTCGTTTTACGAACGAACGTACTGGAATCGTGATCGAACGCGAAGGCAACAGCTCTTCCTGAGTCTGAACCGTAATAATAATACATGGGTAGGAAAGCGTTGGGTGGGTCAGGATGCGTCCACTCGAACAAGGGCATAGGATCATCTTCATAAAAAAGTGAGAGCTGCCCACGCGGTATTCGAATTATGAAGCTGCTCCATTTTCCCACGTATAATAAATGCGACAGGGCTTTCCTTCTAACCAACTGAATAGCTGCTGTTCAAGTAATATTTGTTAAAACCGTGTAGAAAAACGAGCGCGTAAGGGCAGGACGATTCTTACAATCAGTTTCCGATTCGTAGTAGAGCATCACTTTCTCGTTATTCGCAGAACCAATTTTAAGAACATAACGTGATTTTAATCCATCAGCGGCTAGAAAGCCGAACGTAACTGAATCAGGATTATCCGGTTCCCAAGCTTTCAGAGAAAAGCGTAAACCCTCTGAACGATACTCGGGTAGCACGTATATACGTCTACCTGATCCATCCTCTCTAACGAGGAATGTAAACTCCTCTGTGAGGTACGATAACTACGATAAATTCGCGATTGTTACTCGCCATTTATATAAACTCACTTTCTACATACCGGATCGTCTTCGATTTTATGTTTTCCAAGTATCGCAACAATTATTATATGAAATATTTAACAATAAAATACAATGTCTTTTAATAAAAAAAATATGCCTGAAATTAAACGAGCCAGTATGCAGTAGCAAATAAGATAGCAGACGGAAGTTTAATAGTAATATGAACTGTACCCGGCTTTTCGCAGTCTTTGACATTGCAAAGATCCCGAGGTAACAACGGGTCTGTGGTGTAGCACCAAGAGCCAGCTATGTTGCGTGATGGATTTCTACAATAATTGCTCGCGTTCGTGGCACTTCCTTCAGGATACATGCTGCTGTTAAAGGTCTCTCGACCAGAGATCTGCTTGGAACCTCCTATTCCCTTCGGTTTCCACGGGACGGAACGAGCTTTCATATGTTCGACGGGCGTAGGAAATGCGAAATAATGCGGTCCATAGAAGTATCTTTGCAACTGATTCTCGTGAATCGTTTCGAATGTTGGTGACATAAATGCCGATCTCGCAGGCTTGGGTGCTGTAGGTTTGGGTGGCGTAAGTTTCGACGCCATTTCTTCAGATGAGAGAGGCCATTTGTCGCAGACACGTCCGGATCGCGTTTTCGAAAGCTTACCTACGTAATCATTCGCAGTACCAGCCATTTTACATTCTAGAAAAATGTGGGCCTTGAATAGAATTTTTACCAAAGTCTTCATTTTGTCACTTTTCTGTATAATTAATTACCCGATGATCTACACGGGCGAATCGTACAATAGCGTTTCGTAACGGTCTCAGTTTGCCAAGGGGTATATCCGTAGCAATAGGGACCGTCGGGATCGTGAGTGGGATTTCTACATTTATTAAGCGCTTTTAAAGCAGATCCATCGACAAATTTTTCATCGTTCTTCTCTTCTCCCGGAACCTTATCAGTATAGATCAATTTAATTTGATTACACTATAAATTTTAATCAGTTGCCACGTTTTTTAATTACTTCTTTAGATATCCACGGAACGCAAGGGACTTCGTTGTGACTTGTCCACTGCGAGCCTACGAATTGATAATCTTTCACGTCAGACACGCAGTTTGGTGGCCAAGGGTCTTCTACAACGTCTGATTCTATTAAAAATATAATAATTAAACTATCAATCTACAATAATTATTAATTTATAATTTTACTATTAATATATAATTAATAATTAAACTATCAATCTACAATAATAATTAAACTATCGAATTTATAAACTCATGTAAAACTTGGATCTACACAAAACAGGAAGACTTCAAATTGTATTTCATTTTTTAAATGTTTAATTTTATATAAAAATAGCCAGTCATTAATAAGATGAATTACCGTCTGGAGAACAAAACAGAGTCCAAAAGGCTGTAGTATTCTCACTGCCGATGCTGAACCATCTCAAACTAGCGAGAAAGTTTTCATTCATATACACTAATTCGACGGCGCCTCTGGCCTTTTGCGAAAATATGCGAAAATGACTACCGAAAATGCTGAAACCCGTAATCGCAATTTTACATATTTATGATATACTATAATTAAGCTAATGAGCTCGCGAACCTGATGCTGAATTCTCTCCACGACCAAAAGTCGAGCAAGTCTTTCGCTGAAATTTCTTTTAAATAATGTTTGGAGGATTCTTCGCTTTCTTGATACGTGAGCGTTGTCATTTCTTTGCCTATTATCACCTGGGTTATACGTAGATATTAAATCTGGCAGTTTAATATTGATATTGCATTTGGAGTTTTAACATTGTTTTATTCGATAAAAAAATAATATTAAATGTATTGAAGGGTATAATCACCGTGACAGCAGGATACTCGAGTACTGGCGTTTGGTACAGACGAATATAAATTTTATTGCTGGCGCGAATGAAAAACCGAACGTCGATCGTGTCATTGTGTTTTTGCAAAGCCCAGACTTTCGAGAAATCAATTCCGAAAGTTGTATGCATCTCGCAGTCTTCGTGTAAAATATTCAGTTTAGAATTTTTCATCGTAAAACGATAAATCGTTCGTAACATCTAACTTTTTTTTTATAAGTGTGCTATGCATTATTTAAGATTTGTTAATAATGAAACGTACGAGTCTGACAGAACGAATTGCTCCACAGAACGTCCGTTCCTCGAAGCCCGTAATATAGAAAAGCTTCGGGATATAAACTCGTGATCCCATGCTTCTTCTTATATTCCTGTATGAGCAAGGGCTTCATCGTTCCTTCGATGCCAGCAGAAATGAAACCGCCACCCCACGATATCCATATACCCGTCCACTTCGTACCGATTAAAATTTCAGGGCTATTTTCGTAATTTTCATCTTCCTAAATCAAATTCATCGTCCATCGAAGGATAATTTCAGAATTTATCCGATATTAATTCGTACAGTTAATTATATTAGTAAGGATTCTAATATCGTTACTAACGTCGTGCGCCGGAAACGTTTGACGACTACCGGAATTAGAAAACGCTAATTCAACTCCTGCGGCCCAGTCTTCAGCTATAATTTCGGCAGAAGCGGGAATTGGTAAAACGGTGAGCAATATATAAGCCTCTCCCTGGGTACAATTCCCTATTTAAAGAATCGTGTCTATTTTAACGTTATTTCTAATCTATACCTTTTTCTCATCGTCAGGATTCCACAATTTAGTCCAAAATGAAATGTTACCACTATCTCCGTATATTTTCGTAAGTACTGTATAATCAGATGTATTTCTTGTAAACGTTAGATGTGCTATGCATTATTTAAGATTTGTTAATAATGAAACGTACGAGTCTGACAGAACGAATTGCTCCACAGAACGTCCGTTCCTCGAAGCCCGTAATATAGAAAAGCTTCGGGATATAAACTCGTGATCCCATGCTTCTTCTTATATTCCTGTATGAGCAAGGGCTTCATCGTTCCTTCGATGCCAGCAGAAATGAAACCGCCACCCCACGATATCCATATACCCGTCCACTTCGTACCGATTAAAATTTCAGGGCTATTTTCGTAATTTTCATCTTCCTAAATCAAATTCATCGTCCAT